TATTATATTCTATATATTCTATGCTAAGACTGCAAGAGTTTGACAGAGGTAATTATAAGCTATATATACACTACATTAAAAAAAATTTCTGGCTTATAACTCCTCTCCAAAAAAGAAACTCTTAACACAAACTCTCTAAGCAAAAAAAAAAAAACCCTAGCACTCTGTTCCACTCCTCTTTTTGTCCTGAAAGATATGCTCAGGCTCATATTTTGTGTATCAAGTTTAGTTTCAAAAACAAATATTAAAATAACTGCATACAACTTAATGAAATTTTCAACTGATACAAAAACCGAAAATGGTGGTTTTATAAAAAACCAAAAAACCACATCAATATCCTAGTTTCCATCCATATTCTTTTTAAAAAAAAAAATCAGTATTTTTAGAAATAATTTTCACTCAGATGTTAATACATTTTTGAGCTTTAATTTCTTACCTTTAACTGACAGCCAACTCTTTCATAAGCTTTGATAAGCCTGTTTTTATGGTACATCATTATTCCATAATGATCTTTGTTTCTGCAGTTAAATCCAAAAGTAATTCTTACTGTTTTAGCCTTTTATCAGATTATTAAGGAAAAATCTGGTTAATCTCATGTAAGACAAAATTATAGTTACCAAGAGCTCATTCTAAACTGAGTCCTGGAACTTTTTTTGAGATAATTCCTTCAATATGTCTTAAAAAAAAAAAAAAAATCAGAAGGATAACTGCAACATACCCATCAGAATCCAGACAGCTCACAAAATATCACATCATTAAATTCAGTGTGCAATGATGTCAATATTAGCAAAGGATACATTCAAAAATTTCGGCCTATATATATCACGTTCAATGAAAGCAAGACTTTTGGAAACCAGCTGTGTTTTCACTTTTTGTCCTCGGAGAATGATCTGCATTGTTGGCTTCAGATACAAAATACTGCAATAAGCCTACAAAACATACAGTAAGTCCTGTTATTAAAACAAACAAACCAACCAACCAACAACCACACACAAAACCCACCCAAAACCTCAAGATAAGAAGATTTAAAAATGTATGTTTAGGAAGACAAACTTAAGTTTTAATTAAAATTTTATGAAGTGTGTTTTCCAACTTGAATCCACAAAAAACAGGAAATGCAAGTTCAACTGGAATAATACTTCTTAATATTACCCACAAGAAGTCCCAGAACACCTAGTTATTCCAGATGCACTTTCTTACAAAAAGTAGCCTTCAAATCTTATGAATCAGTAGTGGAGACAACGGTCATATCAATTAGCCTGCAGACATGGCTAAGGCTTTTTTCTTTGTGCATGTATTCAAGCAACAGAGCTGCTTCCCAATTCCTTTACCTCTTTTTGAAGCCTAGAAGTGACACTTTGCCAACCAAAACCCCTTTGTTTTAAAAGGTCCGCGCGCACATAACATCAGGACTATGTGCGCGTTTATCTGCACTACAATGGAATGTTGACTCTGCTGACAACCATACATACACCTATTTAATTTCTGAAGCTGCTGATTGCCATTTCCTTCTTGCTCCTTAGCAGACAGTGATGGCTACATTTAATAGAAAAAGTTATTTGAAACCCATTCATTTTCTTCTACATAAAAAGCAAATGTTTACCCAAGTTCACGCACATTCCACCTTCAATTTTCAAAATTAATGTTGACATATTGCCCTAACATTAAAACTCTGACATTTGTCCTCCCCTCCCCAATTCACACTTCTGTAGTATAGTACATTACACTAAAACAAAAATATATACCCTCCAGCTTCCAAAAATATACACATTTTTTAAAAAGCTACACATACTCGCAGTGAATAGTCACTTTCCGGAACAATCTGGTCCAGTCTCTCTTGTTTTTTATACCCTCTTTTGCCTGTTTCATCCAAGTCTTCAGGAATTCTGATGTCATATTTATCCTTGTCAAAGTCAAACTCTGTTTTTTCATTTTTATCTCTAAGAAATACAATTTAAAAAATATTAATCATGGAAAAAAAGACAACACAAGATAAGATATTGTGGTGGACCCAGAGGGTCTCACAAAGATACAAGAGGAAGGGAATTCCTCTGAGCCATAGTGGTTTTCCTCACAGGTTTGCTACAATTCACATAAACAAAATTCAACAGTTCCTTTCTCATATCCAAGGAATACAAGAGAAGTGTTAGCAAGTGAGACATTCATAAATTATAACTTAATTCTGAACAGGTCACACTTAAAAAATAAAAGTAGACAAATAAAACTATGAGCTTTAAATTCTGGATTGCCCAAGACACATGCATTCCTTCTAAATGCAAAATCTCTGAACACTGCAAATTGCCTTCCTAAGATTTTACTGTTGGAAAAATTACACTCATGACAGCTTTCCAACTCAATAATTATCACAATTTCTTATTGCACCACTCACCAGATGTATACACTATATTTAGTTGCTGACGTATACACTGCAGTACGCTGGCAATACGTTTGTACAACACTGAGATACATCAGAGCTGGCACAAATATTCCAGAAATGAAATCTTTTAATACTGAAACAGCTCTATTTTTTCAAGTAGATTCTACTACAACATATTAGGAACAACATGAACCCCCCCAAAAAGTGCTCTTTCCCACAACTTCTCATTAATACATTCCAAAATTCAGAACATGAAAGTTATCCTGCCCAGTCAGCTGAGCTCACTGTATTTTCTTTTGCTCAAGCAATGAAGTGATGCACATTCCTAAAAACATTAATACCCAAGAATAAATGAAAGTCTACCTAGGCAATGCAGATTAGTTTCCCAACTGTAAAGGAGGTGAAGTTTCTCTTACAAAGTAGGTGGCAAGGGTAAACAACCAGAATTTGTTACCTCCAGCTTTCTTGTATTAAAATTTCCTAAACCAAAAGTGATTCAGGGTTCTAATACTCACAATAAATTAATGAAATAAATAAAAAAACCAAAACACAACAAAACACTTTTCACCTGCTATAACTGGGATCTATTTTGTCCTATAACAGTTAATCTATACTCATCCAGGTGTGGTTTCCTGCCCCCCTCCCCCCAGCCCTTTTTTCGATGAGCAACAATAAAGAAACTGAAAACCAAACTAGTTTCTTGCAAAAAAAAAAAAAAAAAAAAAAGCCCACCTTGTATGCCTTCATACACTGAAAGATGACCTAAAGTAAATGGGAGACATAAGACACTGGCCTTCACTTTACCTTCTAAGATTCCAAATGATAATTCTTGTTCCTTTTTTCCCCATTATAGCATCTAGCTCTGCCAGTAATTTCTCCTCAGTAGAAAATAAAGAATGCGTTAAGATGGCCTTCAGGCTGTTTTTGGATTCTGCTGGATCGCTTATCTGTCGTAAGCATTATGTTAAGGAGAGTAACTTCGAACAAAGTAAGCTTTCAGAAGATGAGGAAACTTCTGCCAAGGGTATCCTGTACTCACTTCACAGGTGCTCATTCCACATCTCGGAGGTCCTACTAATTTAAAGGCTCTTAGGGTATCCATAAGACAAGACAAGGAATTTATTTTACTGATAATAATAATTAATAATAATAATTATAAAGTATTAATATAAATATTAATGACTATTAATAATTTTGCATGCACACACAACTTTTAATTCAGAAATTGTTGAAAGGATATGGTGGTTGTTGAATGTCACTATAGGAACCATGACATGTTCTGCTTTTGTGACTTCAAGGAAAGTCTGAGACAACAGGCCCACACTCATGGTTTCTCCATTCTTGGTGAAGACTATTGCATCTTTTCCCAGGCGCATGGACCCCGATTTAAACCCATTTCCATATAGTCCCACTGGAACACGACCATTCATTACAGATTTCTCACTGAAGCCAAAGCTGAAACATATTAAAACATTAGAAGAGTGTAGAAAGCCCTATAAAACTTGAAAACCTAAAAGATGAATGCAAGACTTATCAAATTAGACCTAAACACAATGAGTTCATGTCTTGTTTTAGAGACCAGGGACTACTGTACAATTAAACAACGTACAGTTAAGCAAATGCTGAAAATTACCTGTATAACATTGCTAAAACCACACTGCTAGAATTCAGGGAAATTTACCTTCACCTTGAAGTATGGAAAAGAAATATCATCTGTCTGGAATTATGCAATAAGCATTCTTACAGGATTCTAATAGTTATTCTGTGGCTTCACAATAAATACTAAGAAAAGCCCCATAAGCTTCCCCCCCCCACTTGCTTGAAAGTGTGTGATCTACAATTTTTCCGTTAGTAACTACATATTTCGTTTAAAGTAAAACAGGTAACTATGGAACACAGAATTTAGCAAGCAAGCTATTAATGATGGTATTTAACTGAAAAATAAAAATAACAGTTTGAATTCAAGCTTGCTCAAGTTTAAACCCAGAGATTTATCTGCAGGCAGAGGAATCTTTCATACTAAAAGAGCAATTGAACAGCCTCTTTCCTGACTGTAGAAACAGAAGCTGCAGAAAGATCATTTCAAACCCTATAGAATACTTAAACAGACAAAACACATCAATATAATTATAATTCCCTTGGTTTTTCCACAATACCTTCTATTTTTAATACTCCAAAGGATTTGATTTGAATCTCCCTCTTTCTTTTGCTTGCTTACTTAAACTAAAGCAATCTTGAATAATAATAAAAAATTTAAATTCTTATTAGCTCCACTGAAGGGCACTACTGAGTTTACACAGCACAGTTACTGTGCAGGAAGTTAAATGGGAAGGTTGACAGAAAGGATAAAAAGAAATTATGAGAAAAATACACTGACAAAGTTGTATGAAAGTTTTACCAGCACCTGTCTATTCTGGAGTCTCACTTGGATAATTGCTCACCTTCAGAAATGTTAAATTTGTGAACAAAATTAGCTGATTACATATGAGAAAAAGGAATAAGCTGAGCAACAACAGAACTAGAGGCTGGAATTTTTACAAGAAAAAAGTACAAAAAAAGAGGTTATCCACCTTAGCATTTTGTGCAGCTTCTCCGAGTTCATACCATTTCCATTATCAGTGAACGTCAAGCATATATTGTCGTTTATCACTGTTTTGTCTATCCATATCTGCTTAGCACTCACATCTGGATCATATGCATTATCTGAAGAGAAAGAAAGCAAACAACGGTGGGATACTAAAAAGCAAAAATTAAACAGTTAAAGCGTGAACATATTTTACAGTGAAGATGTCAGATAGTAATTCTTCCAAAGTTAATTATATCCTTATGTAGCACTCAACAGAGCCTTATCTAGCAGGAATACATCATACATAATAAATCTGCTAAATGTTAGTCTTGCAGCGCTGCCAAACAGTTATATGGAATAGCTGTGCGTAATTTTAGTACAGTGTTATGCTTGCACATATGCTTATTTGGTGAATGTGGCAGCTCAACGTAGTTCCCTAATTGTGGGCCTATGGCTCTGCAGAGTCACATGCTAAACTAACAGAGCTCTAAAAGTGCAGCTATTTTGCAGCTCCGCAGTTAGGTATGTAATGTACTTGCAGAAATTTTGTGCTGGCACAGATACTAATTTCTCAGATAAGTTACTGAATATTAGTAATCTTTTGCACAGAAGCAAGATGACAGTTTTTAATAAAGTAAATGTTATACCAAAACCTAAGTCTCCTAAAACACTATCTTCTTTATAGATAACAACACTAAACAAAAACATTATGATGAAACAGCTGCATCAAAACCTGGCAAACCTTGCCTGAAAACACAATTTTCCAGCTATTACAGATGACAGTAAAATTAGGTGGAGACAAGTGGTTCAAACACAAGAACAGAAAACTAAACAAAGACAACTTTCTACTTTCATTTCCTGTCTCCCAAGCAGCTATTGCGGTATTTACTTTCTCCCAGCCACACAAACATCTCTTCTAAATGGCTTGCAGGAGCATAGGTTATTGTCCACAGCGCAAACAATGGCTCATCAACAATATACATGCCTGAAGCAACATTTTACCTGCTCCAGGCCTAAAGGCTTTTTAATTGGGAAATCAGGTTTGAAATACTATCATAATTTGAGATACTAAAAAAAGCAAGCAAAAACCATGAAGCCCAACATATCCCAGACAGAATCATAGAATGGTTTGGGTTGGAAGGAACTTTAAAGATCATCGAGTCCCAACCCCCCTGCCATGGGCAGGGACAGCCTACACTAGACCAGGTTGCTTAAAGCCTCATCCAACCTGGCCTGGTTTTGTCACAGTTCAGTGAAACTTAACATTTTGATTCCACAGGTGCAGGAGATTTAGCTGAAAAAAATTATTGCTGCTCTGCTACCACATCACTTCCATATTAACAGAGCTGAGTGTCACAAATAATGTATTTTGCTAGCGCAAGTCGTTCAACTTCAAGAAGGTAAGACTTTCACAAAAGTACAAGATGTTTTAAACTAATCTGTTTACAGGGTTTGAAAGAGCCTGCAGCATTGCTACCTCAAGTGAAACAGAAACCATGGATCCATAAACGTTTCTTGGCAGCAAAGCTAGTTTAAATCTCATCTGCCCTAACACCACTTTCTCAGGTCTCTTTTCCCTCCTTCCCCAGCACTGTACTACCCATGGAATCTGTAAGGGGAAACACATACAGAGGAGGAGGGGTGGGATGTGATGGCACAGCAGGAGGCAGCGCCCCTGCCTTGCTGCCTGTTTTGCAGGTTCAGCTGAGGGCCATAAATAAACAGCTCAAGTCAACACTGCAGCCTATAAAAAGGAATCACAGCTTGGTAGCTTGCTTTCTAAGTACAAAGTAGAAATTGCATCCACAGTGAAAAAGTTCATAAAATATCTTTCAGCATTAACAAAAGAGGATAATTCAAGTACAACTGAAAATTTTCAAGTATTCCAAGACCATACTTTGTATAAGTCTTCTGATTTGCTAGCTCACAACTCTCCCTAAATGTCCCATTTACCCTCTTCCACGTTATCACCATTAGTTCACCTAAATTTAATCTGACTGAGAACTAATGGGAGAAGCCACCAACATAACCAGCAAAAAGTTGACCATTGGGACCAGAACTTAAAAGGTAAATTTTAGCATTCAGACCACTACCATTTATAGGAAGTTTGCATAAACTAAAATTCACGACACCATAATGTAACCCTATTTGTATTTTTTTATATTTGGCATATGATACAGCCTTACACAGCATGCGAAAGACAGATTACAAAACTTATTTAAATTTAAAAAAAACTAGAAGCCTTTTACAACCGGTATGTTGCCACTATGCTTCTGAAGCTTTGTTAAAGCAACACGTGACAAACCAGAGGGAAAGGAAGAAGACAAGTTTGCATGCCTTGCACAGTACATCTATGATCATTCCAGCCAGGTATGGCATGGGGTGATAAAACAGCTAAAATTCCTTAATATTTTGTTACCCCCCAAACCAGCCAGCCTTTCCCACAGCCTCATGGTTCTGGTTTCCTCCTTTGTGACAGCTCTGGCCTCATCTAGCTGAAAAATTCCTACTTTCTTTTGTTAAATTAATTTTCTGGATTAGCAACAGCAAAACTCATGCACTGGAAGCTAAGGAAAGCATGACCAGAAGAGCTGTTCCCTTTGGCAGCAGTAAACTGCTAGATAAACTTGGCAAGTCTTTCCGAACCACATCTTTATTTTGAGAAACCAGTTAAAGAAGTCTGCTAATCATTCCCTAACTCAGAAAACAAGCAACTCTGAAGATATCTGTTTAACAGCTATTCAAAATCAAAGGCAAGATGATCAGCAGGAGCTAATAAACTAAACAGAAACACAAGCCCTGTAACAGCAGATGACAGACACAATAACAAAGAGCAGAACTCTTAGGACACTGATGGATGGACCATTAAAAGGAACCACTTAAGTATAATCCTGAAGATGTTCAGCCAGAAACTTGGTAACCCAAAAGAAGAAATTTAGGATGTTTGAGGGGTATTGTGACAATGTGCAAAACCTACTATTCTATATTTTGAAGACGCATAGAAGAAAAAGAGAAAGGTCAAAGTAGATGGGAGAATGGTACAATGATGAGGGGCACAAACAGCACAGGCTGATTGTGTGCAAGCTGGCTGCGTGTCAGTATGCTTGGGTGATAGGACCTTGTGCGACCCTGTTGGGCATTCTTACTAAACACTATTTCTAACAATTCCCTGCATGAGTGTGCTCTCTATTCTCAATGTAGGCCTGTATGCATGTGTTCTGCCAGCAAACTTCACGCTGGACAAGCCAACAAGTTGGAAGAAACCAGCAACCATCAAGATCCAAGTTCTAAGCCAGAGACTGGTAAAAAGTCCAGGACATAGACACTAGAAGGACTCCCAGGTCTTGCAAAACACCCAGAAACATGGATAAGCGTGAGTGATAAGCAAGTGAAAGTATGCACATGCACCACTAATGAACTTTAAACCTGGTTAGTCAGGAAGCAGGAATAGGATAAGGCCATTTGTGCTATTCATGTTGAGGACTGCCTGTGTTTACGTGGGTTCTTGCAAAGCTACTGTCCTCCTGTCTGCGCTAATCTGCCCATGGCCAGCTGTGTCTCTAAAGGATGCAAGTGCACACGCACATCTTTGGAATGTATGCTCAGGCTTACTACTCTCTGGGCCTGGGAACAACAAAAAACATTATGCTGGCATTTGGTGGACGAAAAGAGTAGGAATTCACTTGGTTCCACAGTCCCCTATATTTGGCAATCCTTAATAAACTTAGTAAAAAGAAACCAGCAAATTCTACAAGGTCCCTGCAACGTCAGGCAATACGTATGCTGTTAAGAAACAAAAAGGTCAGTCTGACTATACAAAAAAAAAAAAGACACTGTAAGATTCTCAATGGTAACAACAGGATCAACTCCTTTCCCTATCTGAAGGAGAAGTTCTACAGCAAATATTACAATCAAGTACTCAGGCAAACTATTGATCCACGTACCTATAAGTTCTGCAATTGCACTGAAAGGCCAGGTGTGACTGGTAGAGTTGGTATGTAAGAACTTTGGACAAAGCTGAAACAAACCACAAACAAAGGCATTAGTGTAAGCTCCTCAATGATACCAAGACAGAAAACAGTACATTACATAAAGTAACATTAAATGAAGCTGTTTTGTACAACACTGCCAAAAGGTCATTTAATTTACTTTTAGATACTGTCATACTAACACCTTTTAAAGACAAAACAGCAGTACAGAATTCATCACAGTATCATACTATATTCTGAGCACGGATTATATCATCATCCTATCAAACTCTATCTTCATAAAATACAAGGAACTACTGCTACATACCGATGCTAGAGGTTACAGAAAACACCAGAGCCTTAGTCCAAATCTAGTAAGAGAAGCACACACTCTCAAATGTTAAAATTGCACACCTTAAATAATGAGTATTAAATAATGAGTATTAAACTTAATTCAACTTTTGCCCATATTAATCAAAATCACCTGCCAGATTCTCTCAACTAGTGGTTTGTGCTTTTAGCAATTTGTTCTCCTACATTTTATCCTCACTTATGTAAGATGTAACCAGAGGAACACAGCCACTACTAGGATTAGATGGAAATATGCAAATAAAGTCCCTATTTATAGGATGTATCTTAATAGATGTCTGTGACAAAAGTGTTCTCAAGTAATTTATGAAACCCTGAGTTCATATATATTCACCTAAATCAAAAGACTAGGAAAACCAGAACTAAATATCCACTTAAGGATTTGTCAATGCAACGTTTGGAGAAATTTAACTGTTGAGACCAATACAGTTGCATTTGCATTACCTCCGAGAATATCTGTAATTATGCTTTTATAAGGCCTTTAACACAAACCCACTGCACATATATGCTTACACTTCCCTAGCATAGTTATGTTGATAGCATAAAAAGCAGTATCTACAGATACACAATGCTGCAAAAAGTCCTTGTGCAGCGCAGTTCCATCAAATAATATAATACACACTACAATATATATATAAAAATCAGAAAAATACTTTTAAATCATGTGTCCATATCCATACTTCATAAATTTTATGGAACTACTACACTGACAAGCCCTTTCATATTGTTAGTAAAGTCTAAATAAAAACAAGCAACGACTTCAAGCCTCCATTTACCAATGAAAAACAATACTGCTACAAGCAAGTTCCAGAGCCATGAGCCAGGTACCAGAGCAGGAGTAAGGCAGCAGGCCTACTTCAGCTCAATATAAATTGCCAAGAAGCCTCACACCTTGATTCTACGTTCTTAAGAGCACAGGACATACTTTCAGACTGCAACTTCATCCCTGCATTTCTCCATGGAGCTAGAGCACAAGTATGAATACAAGTTCTTCATGGCCACCTATGCTTCAAAACTCCAGTTTTATAAAATCTGGTAAACTGAGTCAGGATAAGCCATTATGCTCCTTTCAAATTCCTAACAGATACTTACAAGTAATTTAGAATCCAAGAAGAAAATTACATTAGGGCTGTTAATGGAAACTCGCATAACCCATGGCACATGGTTAAAAGCATCTTTCAGTTTCTTCCTCTGCCATACAGTAACTCAGTTAAGATCTCTGTATCATTCTTTTCACTTGAACCTTTCACAGTGCTGGCAGCATTTGCACCTTTGCTTTCTAAGCTTCACTGTTGTTTCTTGTGTATTTTGATCATGGTTTTTTTCCATCTGAAATCCCTCCTTATCAAAACATAAACACTTGACATTCAGAAAAAAAAAAAACCCTACACAGATGCACATTAAAGCATTCAGCATCTGTTCAACTCACTGCTAAAATATTTCTCTACTGCTAGCCAGTGAAGAACTCCAACTGTACAACCCAGGTAGACTGGGACCTCTGGAGTTACTATTGACATTGTAACATCAGCAACATGGACTTGGCAAAAAAGTCCTGACCATAGTTTTGATAGAGGCATGAATTCACAGTTGTGAATATCCCCTGGTCACCAGATAATGCTGATAGGAAGGAAGGAAGGAAGGAAGGAAGGAAGGAAGGAAGGAAGGAAGGAACCTCAGTCTCACCAACACTGACACAATCACAGGTGTCCTTTTTTCTGTGAAGCAAAGCATTATGTGCACGGCAAGAAAATCTCTTCACATGTTGCCTGTGTAAAGCAATGCCTCTCCATCCCTCATTTCACTGTCGCACGCTAGTGAACAACTTTGAAAAGAAGAGCCTTTGAAAGAAGCAGAATCTTCTATAAATAAGCACAAGAATGATGCTGATCTTCTCTGGACTGCTGTTCCAAGTGGTAAGGTTTGAGAAAGGATGGAGGGTGGTACACAGAACTGGGAACTTCTGAACTGTTTATATGAAATGAGAAGATACAGATTGGAACACTGGAATTTAAAGAAAATTATTCTTGGCTCTAATATCTCCCCCAGCAAAAGTTGAGTGAGTATCCCACAGGGTAATTAATGGGAAACTCTACCTTGCAGCAGATGCCACCATTTGCTCATGTTAGGCATTGAAACAAGAGCACACGGCAAAATCAGATTAAGAAATGGAGAACTGTGGTTTAAGGCCATTAACTTCATAGCTTGCTTCAGAGCATACCCAGCTGTCAGCAGCAACTCATTTCCTGATGAGCTCATCAGGAAATATTTAAGCCCATATTGTCTCCTAACACCTCAGTTCATCAAACCACGACTTTAATTAGCTCATGAATACCTTAAGTTCAGTAAGTACAGTAAGAAAGAGTTAGCTCCCTGGTGAATGCTCACTTTCGGCTACGTTAGCACAACCCTAGCTGAGGTGATTCAGTTTCTTTCTTCACTGGGCCTAATGCATTTTGTTACTAAATTGGTTTTGTTTAGTTTCACTTTTTCTTCTGAGACCAAGTACAGCCAAATCCTTTTTGGAGATACAACTAAACCTCCCCCTCCTTCAAACGGCACATCCAGTACATATTATAGAAAGCCTCAGCTGCACTAAGAGGAGCACCCGCTACAATTATGACCAGCAAATATCTAAGAATAAAGCAGCTTATATCTCAAAAATGGCAGACAGTTTTAATTTCCCCCCTCTTGCTTTTATCCCACCTGGCTGCTTGTTTCTTTCCTGATATGTTCGCCTTTCTTCCTCCCTCCCAGTTAGACTAGTCCACTTACATGAGTGTGCAATGAACCACATCAGTGAGCTAATCCAAAACAAAAATAATTTTTAAATCTTATTTTTAACCTGGATCACTTCCCTGATCTGTCTTATCACGTAACTGAGTAAAAAATTTACCAGACCAACAGAATGAGATAAATGCCACTGTGGGAATGAGTTACCAGGCCTGCTCACACTGCCTCTGTTGATTGTATATGCTCCTGAAACTAATGGAAATATTTTGGTGAAACCCAACATATTTCCAAAGAACAGCTGCTGACAGAAGAAACTGTGACCACCACCTCTCTATTGCTCTCTAGAAGATAGAGCTTTTTACACAGTTGGACATAACCTGTTAAAAATCTGTATCAGCTGCTTCACTTCTTTAGCACGAAACTACAGAAATCACAGCTTTCACTGGATATAGACTGAGTGTAAACTTTCAGTTATGACTACTTACAAACAAAACCAGAGAGCATCCCAAAAATAATTCAGAAAGTTACCATTTGAACCAACTTAGATTTCTCAGCTGTATCTGTAAGAGTTCAGCTTGCCAAAGCGATTTCAAATGGAGAACAATGTTAAACTCTGCACTCTGACTTGTGATGTGTAGGCTTTTTTGCAGAGGCTCATTATTAATGTGGATGTATTTTTTTCCCCTCAAGAAGGCTCACAATGCATTTAAAACAAAGGGACACCCCCCTCCTTTTTTTTTTTAAGCAGTGTGTTACCTAAAAGAAGAACACTTCTCTAACGAAATACGTCCAACTGTGGATTTTAAACACTTACAAGAATTAAAGATCTGAAATAAAAGTGTAATTCATGAACCTCCAGTAGATGACATTTATAATTAACCTCTACAATCATGGCAATTTATATTAAGGTAATTTAAGCGGTGCTGAGAATATATTAATACTTTTTACACTCAAATGCTTGACAAGTAACTTACTGTAATGACCCAGCTTCTTTCTACTATTCTGTAAGTAAGGTTATGAACCAGATGTTTGTAACTACGAGTGCGACTTCTAGACATAGATAGCTGAAGTCAGAAAGGCTTTAAAAACCACCCTGTTTCATCAATGAACGATGTATTAAACCACTGAAAAGGTAGCTTTATTTGTATTAGCACAAATAAGGAAATGACCAAGTTCCACAGGACAGCAACGAGCAACACAGTGGCGGATTTAACTGCACGCACAGTCATCACCCTTGTCAAAATGTAATTAGGCCTCTTGCAAAAAGTAGTTAAGATCTGAAGCTGCAAGCTTCCACTTTGAGGACACTACGCTCACAACTAACTACAAGAGCGTGCGAAACCCTCCCCCCGCAATAACCAACCCCCCACCCACAAACTGTAACTTCCCCTCCTGCACAGCCTGAGCTCATCTACCCGATTTTCTGCCGAGACCGATGACGGAAAGCCCCCAC